TTGGAAACCCCGGGGGGGGGGGGGGGGGGCATGAATTCATGAGACACGGCAGGGGTCAGGGGAGCCAGCGCACGGGTGGTTTGCTCGGCAGAAGAAAATAAAACGCAGCGGTCAATAACGCTTGCCTGCAAAATCGCGCAAAGGGCATCGGAGAGAACCGGCAAGGAGAACCATTTTGTTTTGTATTGCCACACGCAACCACCCAACGGAACACAGACGACTTATCGACGCTGAAAAATGCTACTACAAGTACATAGTTCGTAACGTAGTTCGAAACAGCGGCTTGAGAGAGCTCATGGCGATCATCGGTCAAGACAGGCGCGTGTCCGAGAAAAAGATTATGGCGTCGAGACGGCCGCGCGTGCGTCACCATCAGCATCAGCATCACCTGCTTGAGCATCTCCGCCAGCTTGAGCTGCTGCAGCACCCTCAGCTTCGCCACGGGGTGTGCCATTTTCTGCGCGATGGGGGGCGGGGCGGCACCAGCCAAAAAGCAAAGCGTTGCACCTTCGATTATGTCATGTTCTGGTTTTCTATCTTAGCAAGGGGAGGGGGGAAGGCTGCGGCCGAGCGCGGTACACAACAGCTATCCGACACGAGAGACTCAGGCGTACTGCTGTGACTACCACCACAAAGAAATCTGCTCGTGGGAATCGCCGCGGTCGATCACAAAAAGGTGGCGCACCCACCTTGTTGACGACCTCGAGGATGCAGGAGCACGACCGGCGGACGAGTTGCTCGTCGGTCGACCTGAGGCACCCCAAGAACAGCTGGAGGAACCGCTCGTTCACCACCTGCGCGATGTCGATCCACCCGATGTACCTGCGAAACCCGTGTTGTTCCATCCGCGCACTCTGATTACCACTTAGGCGCCCGAAGAGAAAAGCGAGATTGCTGCAATGTCGAGCGGCAATCAGCGTTTATATTCGCACGCTAGGGAGCAGGGTAGGCGACGGAAGCACCACATAGAAACAATTTGACAGCCGGGGTGCCCGGCAACAAACACGATGCCGGTGAACCACCCGATGCAACACACAACGCTAGTATCCCCTCCCCGCCGACAACAAGCACCAATCGAGTGGGGCGGGGGGCTGCTGCTTCTGAGAATAAAAGGGCGGAGGGTGCGGCGGAAGGCACGATAGTGGTTCGGATTTGTCGGCAAGCTTGCACACTTCGGCATACCCATTCCCCCCGTCTCACTTTTGAAGCGTCTCCAGAGCGAAGGCGGCAAGCTGCGGCACCTCCGTCTCAAAGGCGGCGACGACCTCGTAGATCACGCCGCAGATTTGTGCCACTGCGTTGGAGACGCGCATCGTGTCCTGCCGTGCAAACAGGCGGAAATAACACATACACCAGCATGAACTTGCATACAACCGCTTGCTTGTCACGTGTATGCCAAGGATGCCGGCCGGCCGGGCACGGAATCGCATTCGGTTGCGCACAATAAATCCAATACCCCCCCCCCCCCCCGAAAAAAAGTCATCTTGAAAGGACGTAAACCCCACATTCCAAAAAAAAAAGAAAAAACCAGGGAC